ATATGTGGTATGTCCAGACTTTTTTAGTAGCCACTTAGTTGCAAACACTGGCCAAAGTTAGCGTTCATATTTGTTTGTGTGTGAAAAAAGTAAAAAACTAAACTGAACACTAATTTTGGCCAGTGTTTGTGACTAAATGATTACTGAAAAAAGACTGGACATACCCCATTTGCAATACCTTGGGATGTCTTCTTTTGCAAATGGTATGCCATCATGGGGGTAATTCTCATTCATGGGCTACCATACACTCTCAAAGCTAACGTAACCAACATGGCCATTTTCAATGTAAAAATATTTGACCCATATATTTGACCCTGTATCTTTCCAAAACGCTGTAAAACCTGTAGGTGGGGGGTGCTGCTATACTCAGAAGACTTTGCTGAAAACAAATATTAGTGTTCCAAAACAGGAACATGTATCACAACAATTATATCATCAGTAAAAGTGCTGTTTGTGTGTGAAAAATGCAAAAAAAGTCACTTTCACTGACAATATCATCGCTGTGATATGTTTTACTGTTTTGAATCACTAATATTTGTTTTCAGCGAAGTCTCCCGAGTAAAACAGTACCCCCCATGTACAGGTTTTAGGGTGTCATAGAATGTTACAGGGTAAAATACAGTGCTAGCAAATTAAATTCTCTGGACTTTCGGCATGGGTTGGCAGGCAGGTCCCTCAAATTACATTCAAAAAAATTACTTAATTATGTAAAAATATTACATGAATACGCATGTAGAATTTAAATATATATGCATATTCATAGACATAGAATGCATAGACGCAGCATGTCTATGGTATTGCGTGCTGAGCGTCGAGAAATGTGGGCGTCATCTTGGACCGGTCGCCGCTCTACTCAAGCTATTGAAGAACCCTTGGAAAGTCCATCTCACAAAAGGTAAGTGAAGAACTTGGGGCACTTATAGTCCTTAATACCCTTACCCCTAGTCCTTAATACCCCTACTAACGCAATGCAGCATCTAGGTATTCTATGTCTATGTGCATATTTATATATTTGAAGTCTACATGTATATTTATATAAATATTTATGTAATTTTGTTTGTGGACACGTATATTTCGTATTATTTTTATTTATTTATATATACATAGATATATATATATATATATATATATATACAATTTCATTCTAAGTGTATTTTGATATAAATATATATATATATATATATATATATTAATATCAAAATACAGTTAGAATAAAATTTCATATAGATATATATTTTTTTAAATATTATTATTTTTACATTATTTTTATTTAACTTAAATTACTTACTATTTGTATTTTATAATAATATATATACAATATATATTTATTATATATTAAATATGTATATATAAGTGTGTAATTTAATTATAATTGTATTTTATATTAATATATGTACATATTAATATAAAAATACACTTAGTATGACATTATATATATGATATATAGACAAATATTATATAGATATAATATATGTCTATGTATCACACACACACACATATATATATATATATACACATATATAATTATAATTTTTTTTATTAACATTAAGAGTTATTTTTTTTTTTACACTAGTAGGGAGACTGCTTATCAGCACAGACAGTCCCCCTGCAGGCAGACACTAGGACACCTATTGTGACTATGTGATCACTCTGTTGAGCGATCACATGGCCACAGGGGTCCTAATCCGCCATGGGGATACTGTCTGGGCTGCAGGCAGTCTCCCCACACCGTGAGTACCGCCAATCGCCGCCGGGGGAACGACGGCGATCGGGTAAGTACATCTTACCGTTAGGACGGTTCAGGACCACCAGCGGTCAGCAATGCAAAAATGCCGATGCTGGTCCTGAACCATCCTCGGTCCTTAAGGGGTAAAGTTGCATTATAAAGGTAGCGAGTTAAGTGTCAAACTAATATTGCAATTGAATAGTAACAATCCAGGATGATTAGAAAGGGATATATAGGTACACAGTGGCTAGATATATAGTCCAACTGTATATCAGATAAGCAGAAAAATATGGACACTCTTAGATATATTACCTAGTCTTTAGAGAATTTAGGGCTTTCTGTTTCATAGTGGGTAGTTTGGTGATTATATCTAGAAATGATATGCTGCAAGTTTCTTTCAAATCAAACTGGGAGACTAGCAGCATACTAGTTTTTCATCAGGAGGTGAATGACGGTAGACAGGGGTATAGATAGTAATACAAATACCACTAATATTACTGGAAACAAAGCAAAAATCTATTAAAGTATATCGGGTCTTACAGATCTCAATTATAAAACGAATGTCGCTGAATTCATACGCCTGGGACAAGTGTTCTGCAGTACATCTCAAGCTTGAAAAACTTAAAGCTAAGAAAATAGCAGCAATAGAGAAAAGATATCCCAATTATGGCATATGGAAGAGTATTCCAGTATATAAAGTTAATAGTATAGATTAGAGTAAAAAAAATATATTTCTAGGACATTCGGTTCCCATTAAATCCACCTCTTAGGCTGTTACAAATCTAGTCTTTACTAGTTTACAAAGCAGCTTCCAGATAGCAGCTTCCAGACAGAATGGAACTAGTCTTTCAAATGACCTGAAAAAAACTGGAAAATGTACACCCTAGCTGTGGTAGAAAGTTGATGGAGATTGAATGGAGGTATAAAAGGTAATTATAGAGAAGTTAGTCCCTAGCATTAAATTGCCAAAATGTCCACCTCACAAGCTGATCAAACACTAGTCTGTACTAGCCCTGAATTGCTGCTTCGTGGCAGCCCCTATTCTAATATACTTCTCGAAAACATTCTAGATAATATTTCATAAAGTGGATATTAATCATAGAAGCATCTGCCAGATACTAAATGAAAATAAAGCTGAATAGTAGATAAGTGCCTCACATACTAACACTTCCCAAATTAAAAAACGAAAGCATGCGCTCAACGCACGTTTCAGCGCTCAGACAGCTCCCATCTCAAGAGCAAAGCTTGTGATCACTTCGCACCACTTTTTAAAGGGATTGTAAACCCGTCCCCCATTTGACGTCATCCATCATTTCGGTGAGGCGTTGAGGTAGTCAATATTCAAAATAGCGCAGTTGATTGGATCATTTTTTCAGGGATGGAAATAAACAGAGGAATTACCTTTTATTACAGATCGCCCTGTAACCCTTAGTTCCCTGAATTTAGAGATCTATGTTATTCATTTCAATTATGTAAATTATGTTGCTTATTGTGTTTAATCGACTAAACTGATCTGACTCTTGGTATTGGTTAAATCATATGTGGAAGGGTCCTCTACTTGTAATATAAATGTGTTTTTTTATTTATTTAAAAAGAAAATCTCCCTTAAAGGAAATTAGACACTGTTTCTATAGAAGTACAGTTTCCATGATATAGGAGAGTTCAAGTTGGTAATTTACATGTAAGATCAAGCTATTAACTTATTGTTTTCCGCAACTGATGAGAAGAAATAATTAGTTTAAACCATATGTGCAAGGGTCCTCTATCTTTAATATAGATATGGTTTTTGAATTATTTAAAGTGAAACTCTACCTTAGAGGTGATTAAACATTGTTTCTAAAAAAGCACAGTTTCCGGTAAATAGGCGAGTACAAATAGGCAATTTATATGCAAGATCAAGCCACTGAATTATAATTTTCCACAACTGAAGAAAATAACTAAATTAAAGTTCAATAGAGTGGGATTAGCCATATATTGTATGGAGTTATTTTTCCCAATACCAAGGGTCAAATGAAGTTGGATTAAGAATTAGAAGACAACATCAAGTATGTCTGCCAAGTTATCACATTTCAAATGAAGGGTGCAGAGGAAAAGCCCTCATTTAGGCCTTTTGGGTGAAGAGATTTTAACCTGTAAATCCAAAAGCATTCAAATTGTTTGAGAAATCTATCATAGTCTCCTCTTCTTTGGTCATGTCAGACCAATTCCAGTACATAGAAACAAAGTCCTTTAGAATCCATTGAATGGAATTCCTTCATGTGCTTTGATCCTTTTGTTTGAAGGGTCGAAAGATTTTTCCAACATACTTCATGTCACATTCACAGGTGAGTAAATATACTAGCCCTGAAGTGTTGCAATTAAAGAATGATTAGATTTTAAAAGAATGTTGCCCTTCACTGTCCAAAACTGTCTTTGAATCCCATCTTATAAACTTGCAGGCAACGCATCTCCCGCACCCAAAGAACCCAACCAGGGGATTGCAAAGCCAAGTACGGTTGGTATTACTTTGTGTCTGTAAATGGCTAGAGACTAGTATATCTCTCCGATTTTTCGCTTTTCATGCAGTGATGTTGACCCTAGGAGACACCACTTTTTTAAGGTGTACATCATCTGTTAATAAGGAACAGAATATTTGAAACATTTTCAAAAAGTGCAATTTAGAGAACTAAGCGAAAACTAACAAATGTACATGTATAATGTAACAAATGAACTAAGGAGAGTGTAGGAAAGGGAGCCAATCCCCATGGTTTTTAGGCCCGAACGTGGGAACAAACCGAACGGTTATTTCCATGTGTACATACGTCAACATGCCGGGTCTCGTGCCTGGAAGCAGGAACTAACAGCAGTGGAGCCGGAAGTACAGAGTCGGTGAAGGAGCAACAGGAGCAGAGATCGGGTAGCAGCAGCGGGGGATAAACACGACCGTAAGTGTAGGTTGACTGTAAGTGCAGGTTGCCATGGACAACACGTCACTTGAACAGAAAATGGTGCAGGTAAGCAGGGGAGATTGCATTTTATTGGACAAACTCCTGCTGCAAATTTAGGCCTTTGGCCTTCTATAAATATATATATATATATATATATATATACACTTAGCACCTTTGTAGCAAGATATGACCTCTGACCATTCCAGTCATTTTTATAGAAAAGCACTGAATCCAATACTTGATGAGGTCAAACATGAAGACCTTTGAGTATCGAAAGTCTTAAGAAGGACGTGCCTCTTGTGATTGTATGTCTGACAGCCTCTATGGGTGCTATTTAGGTTTTAGATCAGGGGTGTCAAACATGCGGCCCCCCCAGCTGAACTACAACTCCCATGATTCTTTCAATGAAACAGATAGCCAGGGAATCATGGGAGTTGTAGTTCAGCAACATCTGGGGGCCGCATGTTTGACACCCCTGTTTTAGATGCAACGTGTGTTTTACATTGTCAGCATCTATGCACTAAAATCACTATATTAAGATGAAATGGTTGTGATGCTTACAGTGTCTAATTAAATGTTTAGCAAATGTATGCATTATCTGTATAATGTATTTAAAAAATCTGTCAGATTTTTACTGCAGAATCCTCTCCATATGCATTCAATATTAATTCCATAAATTAATATATAATAATATGCATTTTGTAAATGTTTGCTTGTCTAATATGGAGTCTAAATGCATCAAAAATGAATGTAAAACACCTCCAGGAGTGTGAGATTAGATATTTACCAAGTCAAAAAGGTTTCTATTAGGGAATATGAAGAGATGGTGATTCCATTTTAGTTACCATGGTAACATTAAATATAAAATTATCCAGAGCAAGCCATTAAGAATACATATCTTAAAAAGGGAAGGCATATAGATAAAAAGACAATAAATACATATTGGCTTCCCATGTAGTGTATTATTCATGCATATTTTATCCAACTTTCGAAAAATTGGCAGACAGCGTTTTCTAATTTTAGGTATTGCAATTATGTTATAGTAAGTTATTAAGGAAGCTAATTTCTCACCATGACCATCCAGAAAAGCTTGGGGAATCGTGTAAATTGCTTTCAAGTTGAGTTGATGGACTTGTAAAAGTTTCTGTCTAACACCTTTTCACTTTATTTCACAGTCCAGATCGATCACTTTGATTCAGTCATGGAGAGTGATCCTGAGTTTTTATTATAACTTAGCCACTGGTCAACTGAGTATTCACATAAAATTGATGTCTTGTGTTTTTAATGCTTTATTTGTGATGTAAATGTGAATCCATGTCTGCTGCTTGTAACATATAGCAGCATTTTAAAAGACCTTGCAATAGAAGTAAATATGCATCAGGAAGAGTGAAATACAAAAGAAAAATCAAAGATTACCAAGACACTGTAAGCACCTAAAAAAATATTAGCTTAAAGGAACAGTATAGTGCCACTACAGTGTCCTGGCAAATGTGTATGTAAATGTGTATGACACTATAGGGCTAAATGTGACAACTCACAAATTTGATTTTCTCACCTTTTTTCCAGCACCATGCAGCTCTACTCATGGCTGGGCCTGCCCCTGCTCTGCAGCTTTTCTGAGATCATCAAATTTGATGATCTGAGCCAATCCAATGCTTTCCCGTGGGGCAGCTTTTAGAGGTTATTGCTGCAAATGCAGCTCTGCGCCAATCAACATCTCCTCATGGAGATGCATTGAATCAATGCATCTCAATTAGGAGCATTCAGCACCTCCATATGCAGCACTGACAAGAAAGCACCTATAGTGGCCATCTGGGTGACTGTCACTAGAGATGTTACTTATAGGCAGTAAAATGGCAGTGTTTATATTAAAAAGCCTGCAGTGACAAGCAGTAGGATTGACTGTAAGGTCATGATCTATAAACCAAAACAACATCATTAAATGAACTTTGTTTTACATGCGTAAAGTAGTTTGTACACAAAACACTCACAAAAGGCAGGAAACACAAACATAAATACACACCCTACCTGAACAAAATACTTTCCCCAGCTGTTCCCACTTCCTATAACCTCCGATCCAGTACCAACACTTTACTAAGTCTACCTCAATACAAAAAGAAAGCAGCCCAATCCTCGTTCTCCTACAGAGCACCACAATTGTGGAACGACCTCCCGCACAATTTAAAATCTTCCCTAAGCCTAAAGTCATTTAAGAGATCCCGCTCTACATACCTCAAAACAGAATGCACCTGTCATGGTTGATTATATATTTGCTACCTCTTCTATGTTAAATTTTGTATTTATTGTGTATTAATATTGTTTTTGTATTTTATTGTACCCTAATGTAACAATGCAATGATATGTGGACCCAGGATATACTTGAAAACGAGAGAAATCTCAATGTATCTTTCCTGGTAAAATATTTTATAAATAAATAAATCAGATATACAGGGAGTGCAGAATTATTAGGCAAGTTGTATTTTTGAGGATTAATTTTATTATTGAACAACAACCATGTTCTCAATGAACCCAAAAAACCCATTAATATCAAAGCTGAATATTTTTGGAAGTAGTTTTTAGTTTGTTTTTAGTTTTAGCTATGTTAGGGGGATATCTGTGTGTGCAGGTGACTATTACTGTGCATAATTATTAGGCAACTTAACAAAAAACAAATATATACCCATTTCAATTATTTATTATTACCAGTGAAATCAATATAACATCTCAACATTCACAAATATACATTTCTGACATTCAAAAACAAAACAAAAACAAATCAGTGACCAATATAGCCACCTTTCTTTGCAAGGACACTCAAAAGCCTGCCATCCATGGATTCTGTCAGTGTTTTGATCTGTTCACCATCAACATTGCGTGCAGCAGCAACCACAGCCTCCCAGACACTGTTCAGAGAGGTGTACTGTTTTCCCTCCTTGTAAATCTCACATTTGATGATGGACCACAGGTTCTCAATGGGGTTCAGATCAGGTGAACAAGGAGGCCATGTCATTAGATTTTCTTCTTTTATACCCTTTCTTGCCAGCCACGCTGTGGAGTACTTGGACGCGTGTGATGGAGCATTGTCCTGCATGAAAATCATGTTTTTCTTGAAGGATGCAGACTTCTTCCTGTACCATTGCTTGAAGAAGGTGTCTTCCAGGAACTGGCAGTAGGACTGGGAGTTGAGCTTGACTCCATCCTCAACCCGAAAAGGCCCCACAAGCTCATCTTTGATGATACCAGCCCAAACCAGTACTCCACCTCCACCTTGCTGGCGTCTGAGTCGGACTGGAGCTCTCTGCCCTTTACCAATCCAGCCACGGGCCCATCCATCTGGCCCATCAAGACTCACTCTCATTTCATCAGTCCATAAAACCTTAGAAAAATCAGTCTTGAGATATTTCTTGGCCCAGTCTTGACGTTTCAGCTTGTGTGTCTTGTTCAGTGGTGGTCGTCTTTCAGCCTTTCTTACCTTGGCCATGTCTCTGAGTATTGCACACCTTGTGCTTTTGGGCACTCCAGTGATGTTGCAGCTCTGAAATATGGCCAAACTGGTGGCAAGTGGCATCGTGGCAGCTGCACGCTTGACTTTTCTCAGTTCATGGGCAGTTATTTTGCGCCTTGGTTTTTCCACACGCTTCTTGCGACCCTGTTGACTATTTTGAATGAAACGCTTGATTGTTCGATGATCACGCTTCAGAAGCTTTGCAATTTTAAGAGTGCTGCATCCCTCTGCAAGATATCTCACTATTTTTGACTTTTCTGAGCCTGTCAAGTCCTTCTTTTGACCCATTTTGCCAAAGGAAAGGAAGTTGCCTAATAATTATGCACACCTGATATAGGGTGTTGATGTCATTAGACCACACCCCTTCTCATTACAGAGATGCACATCACCTAATATGCTTAATTGGTAGTAGGCTTTCGAGCCTATACAGCTTGGAGTAAGACAACATGCATAAAGAGCATGATGTGGTCAAAATACTAATTTGCCTAATAATTCTGCACTCCCTGTAGGTTATTGATACAAAGTGAGGGTTTGGTTGCACTAAAAGTGTGAAACCAGACATGGATTGGAGCAGAAGGAAAATTAATACAAATTAATACAATATAATATAAATAATTAAAAAATTATAATATACATAATATAAAATAAAAATTGTGAGAAAGACTTTTGACCTAAAAGGGGGGTGAAAATGAGGAAAGAAGCACAAATATGAAAACAATTATCCATGTACATATGCGGTGATAAAGCTGAGACTGTGCAGTTTATCTCCTCACTTTGAGTGCCAAGTATAAAGAGTGTTGTGTTCTAACAGAGTGTCTAATGGACTAAAAGTGGGGGCCTTCAAAGTGGAAACCAGTAGAATCAACAGGCACATTGCAATGGTGACTTCACAACAGAACACTTTCATACTCAGCTCCCATTGTACCTTATCTATTGCATTATAAGGTGAAGCTCATGTCCGTTTGATGAATACTAATATGTTACTAAATATAAGTAAGTATCAAGAAGATGGATCATGTGTGTACCTACATCTTTTATTCTTGTAGGAATTCAAACCAATAGCCCTTTGCGGAACTTAATATATACCATTATATATGTTGATAAGAAAGAATTTGAAATTACTTTACCTAAATAATCTGATGTCAATAAGTTGGGGCACATTTTATCAGGACATTTTCTAAAACACTGTAAACAAGGGAGTTCTCATTAATAAAACGAGGCAGAATAACTCCTGAATTCCACCACGGCATGAAGGGAGTCCTGCAGGAAATGGTAGGGTGTTTTCATCGGTTAATGTAAGTTGGTGAAGAGTATTTTGCATTAGTTAGACATAATGTTTGAAACAAAAAACTGTTTGTTGTTTGTTTGTTGTTCCAGGCAATTTATGCTAAAGTCTCCAAGAACCTACAATTCACTTTTTTTATTTTAGGTAGTAATTTCACATAGAAGGGGAGCAATCTGAACAATATCGGTGAGTGTTTGAGTTGGTAAAGACAGATAAGTTAAAATTTAACAGTACAGAATTCAGAGCTGGAAGGAGCGCAATGATAATTTAATTGTGATAGGTATATGGAATCTACTCGAAAAACACCTTTACTTCTTTTTCCATGTCTTTTCTGATGTATACATAGCATTGCAATGCAATGGTAGTTTATTGGATTTTATGAGGCAATCAGATTTCAGAGGGGAAAAAAAGGTGTTTTTTTTTATTTGTAAGCATAGCACCAGACTTTTAAAGTGGCACTACAAGTAACAAAACAACTTTAGCTCAATTGAGCGGTTTCGGTATATATTTATCATGCCACTGCAGTCTATTTAATTTAGAATGTCTTATCTTACCTGCTCTGTTAATAGCCTTATAGGACAGACAGGAGCCATGTGTTGTTAAAGTTCAATTAACAGCGCAAGAGATAAAACCTCTAAAGGAAACACACTGTACTGTGAAAATGAAGCCATTTTTTTAATGCAGGATG